GAAGCCCAACCCCTTCTCAACGGCCACGGATGGGAGCTGGACTGAGCTTGAGCTCAACCCGTCCTCACCACCCCTTCTTCCCATTTTTTCTCCTCTGACTTCAGGGCGACTTCCAGTCGCTTCAGGCGAAAGATTCTGACGCCTTGCAATCTGTACTCCAACCTTCCAAAGCCATTGGACGAAGAGCGTCAGCAGCACCATTAAGATGGCAAAAACTGCCAACATGGATTGAAGGGCTTGATACCCTCCTTCTTCTTCTTCATCTTCTGAATCTCCTCTAGCCACTGCCAAAATGGCAATTGTGGTAACCAAACGAATCATGTCGTCGCTGACCTTGATGGCTTTGGCCAGCGTCTCACCTTTTTCTTTCTGTTCTTCATCTTTCTCCTCCTGTTTGATCTCCTCTTTCTTTGGTGGACTTCCCATCATCATCATCTCTCGAAGCGTCTCCAAACGTTTCGAAGACAAAGGTTTGGTGCCGATGTCGGCGGTCAAAAATTCGCCCGGGGAATGGTGTATCACCCATCGCCCAGACAGCACAGTCTGTCGAGCGTAAGACGCCCGAGTTCTAAGGTGTCTCGTGCGCCAGTTGCCTCCATCCGCTGTGATGATCGCCAATGCAGACTGGGAGTCAGTGAAGGCTCCACGTGGCACATATCCAATCAGCTCATCCACAATGGCTGCCACAGACTCACCGGCGGTCATGGCCTCCACCAGTTCGGCCAATTCGGCCTCTGCAGTTGACAATGTCACCAAATGTTGGCGGCCGGCTCTCCAAAAAATCGGAGCTCGATTCAAGGTGATGATGAAACATCCAAAAGATTCTTCATCGTTGGGGGCATCGCTGACATCTGAGAAAACTTGTATCTTGATTGGTTCTTTCTCATCATCTTGGTAGCGGAGCCCTTCTGCACAAGTTTTCAGAAGGTATCCTTGAACTTGATCAGCTGCCTCAAGAACTGAGCTGGTGGCTTTTGTGACGTTGGAGCCCAGCCTTGAGATGCTGTACATGAGGTCCGGACGAGTTCGCGTCAGAACCCAAAGCAGTTCACCTACCACTTTCTGACATTTTCTGACTTTCTCCAAAGTTGGTGGACTTGGGTCCAAAGTCATCAGAGCTTGGTCCCGAGTGATTGGGATCTTCTTTGGCTGAACTTCTTTGGCCTGCCGTTTCACCAGGTCCTTGACAAAGGATTCTTGGGTGACATGCCAAACATCTCGACCTTCGGCATTCTTTGAGGTTGACACTTCCATGCCAAGGAAGCGAATGGCTTCCTCCCCCACGACTTCTGGTTCTGACGTGGTCCAAGTCGCTTGGAACTTCTGTGCCACCGCTCTGGTGACTTCAGGGGGGCCAGCGATGAAAATGTCGTCTACATAGGTCATGACCAAGCCATACTGAATGCTTGGCTCGCTTCCTTCTTCTTTTCCAACTTCTTCCAGACGCCAAAGGTTTGGCTCAGAATCCAGCTGCCTCAACTGCAGCTTGATCTTTCCTCCTTCTTTCTTTTCTACTTCTACTTCAAAACTTCTCATCTCGCTATCTCTGCAAAGTCCCCACAATCTTGGAGATCTTCTCAACCCATAGACCGCTCTTTTTGGCCTGTAAAGTGTTCCAGGTCGCAAGCAGCCTTTCTTGACAAAGATGGTAGGAGGAGCGACCAGGATGTAGTTGGATTGATCCTCCTGGTCAATGACGGCGTTCAAAAAAGCCGTACGGATGTCCAATGACATGCCCAGCCATTGGTTCCTCGCAGCAAACCACAGCATGAGTCTGAAAGCTGTGGCATCAGCACCTGCACTGTAGGTCTGTTCATCATCTCTTTTTTCCTCGTAGTTTCCACAGATGACCCATCTCACCTTGTGTTTGGATCCACCCGGAATGGGCTTTTTGGAGTACACCACCTTTGATGGGATGCACTCAAACTTGATGCCCTTCTCCTTCAACCTCTTCTCTATTTCTTTTACCTCCTCTTCTGAAACTTCTTCCAATGCTTCTTTTTCTTCCAGCATAGAGTTGATTTCGCTTTTTGCAGCGGCTTCCCATTCTTCCCAATGCTCCCAAACTTCTTTCGGTGAGATGATCTTGGTCTGCAGGATCTCCTCGGAGTCTTCCATACTTTCCACAGCTTTGCGCAGTCTACCAATCACAGCCATCTCATCCATGGCTGTTTCCTCATCATCTTCAACCATCGCTCTCATCTCTTCTTCTATGATTCTTCTGATTCTAGCTTTGACCTTCCACTTCTCTGTCTCCTCCTCTTCTTGTGCTTCCATCGACGCATCCAAAATTTGGGTTTCAAGGCCAACCCAAACACCATGTTGTACAGGCTCTGAAGTCTGTTTCATCAAAACTTTGGCGATTCTTGGAGCCTCGCCTTCTTGCCACACTCAATGACCATGTTCTTCAACTGATGGGCACAGATAGCGGACATGTTCCACCATCGGATCAAAACTTCCCCTCCTCCATGTCCTCTTCCTCACTCTTACCTCCTCCAAAAAGGGTGGAAAAGAAGGAACTTGGTCGAGGCGAACACATCGGTTGATTTCGTTGATGTATCGCAAAGCCCAAGGCCACCAATCAGCTTGGACCTTGGCATGGTGCAAGACTCGCCTGATCTGAGTCTTGATGGCTTTGACGGCCACTTCTGCACGGCCGTTGGCTCTGGGGTCATCGCCAGCAGTGCGACTCAAAATGATGCCTCTTGATGATGCCCATCTTCTAAACGATCCAGAAAACTCGTGGCCTCTGTCGGTGTGGATCTTGGCAACTGTAAATCCATCGACCTTCAACTTCATGAGCATGTCCATGGTAGTGGATGAAACTTCCCTCGCAGTTTTGGTGGTCATGGGAAGTGCCAGACGAAAAATTCGAACTTCCGTTTTTTCTTCTAAATCTTCCCTTCTTCCCTCATCTCTCTGCTCCCCCTGACCTTCTTCGACCTGCACTTCTGCCTCCTCTTTTTCTTCTGCTTCTGCTTCTCTAGCTTCTTCTAAAGCTGGTTCTTCTCCTTGGAGTTCTTCATCTGGTGGCTGGCGCATTTTGTCAGAGTCTTTTGGAACACGCTACACCAAAACGCCAGTCAAAAACCAACGTGCCATGTGTCCTCCAAGGTCATATGCTGGTGTGAAAGGACCAGCCACATCCAGAGACAAAGTGCCAGTTTGAAGATGCCGGGCTCGGCGATGAGGTTCTTGTTGTTGAAGGGTTTCCTGACATGTCTTGCAGTCTTTGCGATAGGGAACGTGGCCAAATCTGATGTGATCCTCCCAAGACATAGGAGCAATCCTTGCATGTGATTGCATGGTCTGTTCTTTGATGGCCACAGCTAACATCCGCATCAGACCAGGTGGCCACCGAGCAAGATCTTTTGACGATCGAACTCCCCCAGGACAAACAGGACCTTTGATTGGAAAATCTTCTGGAACCAAATCAAGTGAAGTTCCCAAAGTGGTGGGTTTCGTGGCTTCCCCACCCAAGCTCTTTTGTGTGAAGTGCGTCTCCTTCAACTCAAACTCCTTTTTAATTTCATGCCATTCCCATTGATCCCAAAATGAAACAACTTCGTACTCTCGTGGTGAAGATGGCTGCTCAAGCACAAAAGCCCGTGGATGATCATGCCCTCGAGCTCGTCGAGCATATGTTGCAATCATGAAAAGAAAAATTTGACGCCACAAAAGGATGTCATCCTCTTCCACCAATTTCTTCTCTTTTTCACTCAAATCTTTCTTCCCATACTCCTCTCCTTTCCATGCTCTGACAGGCCGAGGTGCAGTATCACATCCAGGAATCTCATAGTGCCTCAAGACACTGCGAGAGCGGCAGTTTGGCCCGCCCGCAATTCCCAAGATCTTGCCCTGGATGGCTGCAGTGATCAAAGACGCGTAGATGCCGTCGTCAGGAATCATGTCATGTTGGCTCCCTCTTTTAACATCTACTTCTAACAAAATTCTTTCTTCTCCCCCACGCTGTTTCCAGGCCTTTCCAAACGTGAAGCCTGAATCTTCTCCAGCGTAGAGATGTAAAAGCAGTCCATCTCTTTGCATAGCCCTCCTCCATCTCCGATTGCAAGGAAGACCATTCCTGGTTGCACTGCAAGTCGCTCTTTGATGTGATCAGGTAGTTGAGAGAGAACAGGATGGGCTTTGACCATGGCTTGCAGCCATTCAAATTCATCGCTCATCTCAAGACCTCTCTTCAAACCTTGATTTGCATCTTCCAATTCTGAGATCAGGTCCAAAGCCAGTTGACGACTGACTTGAGGGCAGCCATTGTGCTGCGAAACTTTCAAATCACCTCGTAGTGGATGTCGTATGGAGAGCTTTCCATCCTTCCATGCAATCTCGCACCCAAGAACTTCTGTAAGGGGGCCCATCGGAACTATCGGTTCCACCATTGGGTCAGGAGAGATCATCGCTCCTCCAGGTGACATCTTCAATTGAATCCTTCTTCCATCTGCCAAAGAGACTCCCACGACTGGGAAGCCAGCTGTCACCTCTCCGTTTTTCTGTGGTCGAAGAGGATGTGTCGCACCAGAGTCAATGAGACCAGCTTGATCTCCTGTCGCCATCTTTTGAAGCCTGAGAACTTTTTGTTTCTGCCTCAGGGAGTTCAACTGCTGTTGAAGTCTTTCCATCAAATCTTCTTTTCCTTCTGAGTCCTTGGCAGATCCAGAGCTGGCAGAAGACGCCGATGAAGATGGAGCTCCTGAGATGCTTTTCAGCACCTTACTCGCCTCATCTATCAAGTCTTTCATAGCGGAATCTTGTGTCGATGCCGCTGCTTCTTCAAATTCTTTCTTGCCTCCAACCTTCTCTTCCTCAGTCTTCAGCTGCTTCGCTTTTGAGGCAGACTTTTCTGGGGAGGTTGAAGACGATTTCGGTCGTGTGCAGCTTGGTGCTAAGATGTGCTAAGTGTTGTGAGCTGCCGCACACGTAGCATCTCCTCAATTCGTCTCGCTGTTCATGCGACCACGTACACTCGCGGCCTTTTCTGCATCCACCTTCAGTTAGGTAATACCTGCATTTCTGTTTGGACTTCTCTTCATCATTCTTTTCTCTGTGTCTTCCCTTTCCCTTGCCCTTCTCTCCTGCCTCTGCCTCCATGTTCTTCAGCTTCGGAAGTTCTACCTCCTTCTTCGCCGTTGTGGTTATTGATCTCTTGTCAGTCATCGCACATTGTTCAAGTTCAGCAAGAAGATGTGCAGCAAGTTGGTCCACCGAAGATGAAGTTGGAGTTGTGTCCACCGACAGGGTGTTCCGGACAAGAGAGACACGGAACTGGATGTCGCGATGCGATTCGAGCACCCGACGAGTTATCTTGTTGAGGCCCTTGAGCAACAAAGCTGGGTCCGGCTCCACAGCGCCGACTTCTTTGGCACGACGGCGCCATCTCATCCATTTGCGGATCGCTCCAGGTGCTTCTTGAACTGAAGTGATTTCTGCCGGGTCCTCCAAGCTTTTGAGCAGGGTCTGTTTCTCTGCTACACCACCTGGTGAGTAAGTTGTGAACAAGTATGTGAGCACACCAAAAACATCCATTCTTCTCGCTGCCACCAGTTCTTCGCAACAAGATTCTGGGATGGCCTTCATGATCATAGTTGAAACCCGCCTTTCCAATCGCTGCCAACGAGGTTGTTGTAGAGAAGCAGGGGCAGCAAAGCCATGATTCAGTCGATCAAGGGGGCTCAATGAAACATGCCGCTGATACCAAGCTTCCACCTCCTGTGTCATGATTTCCCACCACTCTTGAGAAGAGGTGGTGAGGTCAGAGATGATGGGATTCAAGAGCAACATCCAATCACCAAGTTCAAGTGGCCCAGTCCCAGACGTCCAAGGCATCAGATCGGGCAAATCTGGAGCACCCGAGCGAACCACCTCCACTCCCATCACCGCTCCTTCATCATTCTTTCCATCGCTGATCTTCTGCTGCAGGTCTCTCATCGACTGCATCATCAGGAACATGAATTCCATAGTCTTTGAGTTGAAGTCTTCTTCTCGACTTCTTTCTTGTTGGCCTCTGGGCCCATCCACAAATCTTTCACCTTTCTTCCAAGCTTCGCCACAATCACCATTTGAACTTTCGATCCTTGGGGGTCTCACAGCCTCAGGGAAAACTTGCTGGCCAACTGACCCGTCCTCTTTTGGGGGTCTTGCAGCCTCAGGGAAAACTTGCTGGCCAACTGACCCGTCCTCTTTTGGGGGTCTTGCAGCCTCAGGGAAAACTTGCTGGCCAACTGACCCGTCCTCTTTTGGGGGTCTTGCAGCCTCAGGGAAAACTTGCTGGCCAACTGACCCGTCCTCTTTTGGGGGTCTTGCAGCCTCCTTACCGAAAACCTTCTCCAGGTTCATCCCTTGCAAACGAGTGGTTTCTATGCCAAAACTTCGCTCAGCTTGACCACTTCCGTCCTTGGAGATGCTATCTGGAGTTGCAAAACGCGCCTCAGGTTCTGCAGGTTGTGATTCTACAGCTAGAATCCTTTCTTTCAACTTCTGATTCTCATTCAGGACAGAGACCAAAAGTCGTTTGATCTCTTCTCTTTCACTTTGTTCTACAACCATTCTATTCTGCAACATCGCCAACTGCCTATCCCTTTCCAAAAGCTCTTCGTTGAACCTTCTTTCTTCAGATTCCAAGAACCCTGGTCTCGGGATCGACGGCGTGAATCCCGTCCCTGTCATGCCATACAGCCATGGAGTTCGCTGCTGAAGCTGGGTCATTTGCTGGACTTGTTCAGGAGTAAAAAGAGGAGTATAGGCCATTTCAAATTCTGATTTCTTCACATCTTGAGGGGTTGCAGCTAAGCCATTGGGAGAGGAACTGGCGAAGCCTCTCACACTAGGATCTTGAACCCTTTCTTCCCCTTCTAAACCCTGGTTTCCACCCTCTCCTGCCCTCTTCTCTTCACTTTGCCTTGCCGTCAAAGCTGGAGTCGGCCTTTCTGATGCCGATGCACTCTTCGAAAAGCTCTGAGGTGGCTGTGAAGGCGGCGGAGTTGCTGGAACTGCTGGACGGAGGGAGACAGGCTGACCCTGTGGTTGGTCAGGAGTGGCACTACTCAAAACCAAAACACCTTCACCTTTCTTCGCCTCATCCTCTAAACTACTAGCTGCTTCATCCCTTTCTTCTATCCTTCCATCTTCTATGGCCTCTTCACCCCTTTGTTTACTTTCTTCTTCCATTCGTTTTTGGGCTAACTGCATCTCCTGCATCCCTTGTTCCATTTCCCTAGCCTCAGGGTCTTGGGCTCATAACCTGGCGATGATATCGTCCAAGCTATGACCCGTGCAGCGCAGCAGCTCCTCAGGTTTTTCTACCTTCTGCTCGATTGGGGATTGATCCAAAGGGCAGCTATTGGTGTGGCCCTTCGCAAAATGAAATGCACAAAAATTGAATGTCAAATGAAATGCTGACATGTGAAGTGCAACTGATATGAAATGCAGCAGATACTATAGGAATCCCTAGGGTAAACATAGAAGACTGGATATCGGGGTACCCTATTTTCGAACAAACCCATTTGCAAAACTCGAATTGGATTACGAAACTGTATTTTGGATTATGTTGGTAATTTTTACTCTATTTTACTCCTTCAAACTCGGAAGTCAATACCTTCCAACAAATCACATCTGTTGTCCCTCGGCTTCCAGAGTCTGGGTCCGCCGCTGCAAAGTACGGCCACTTGGACCGGCCCGCGTTGATCCAGCAAAGCTGCGGGCACCACAAAAATGAGATACGCTACCCTGGGGACTCGATCACCCTTGGATAAGCTGAAATAGGTGTCGTGGAAAACCTGTGGTTTCCACAGAAAACTGATCTACAAGTGGTGGATTTTTCTACATCTATGTCAGTTTAGAGGAAGATACTTGGATGCGCATCCCACTTAGCAACTCGATTGTAAGCCATGCTACATGAATGGGGATCTCCCATAATTATATGGGTGATGCTATGGTTGCGAACCACTTCTTACAAGTAGCTGGGACGCACCCACAAGTACCCTCAATCAAACATGGCAAATGAATGGACAGTGACAGGAGTTTCCAGGCCCGGCTCGGTTCCCTTCCACTTCTAGGCCCTGGACATTCCTTCGGTCAGCAGCATGACACAAAACGTGCTGTTGTCTTCCAGGTGAACTACCTGGTGCAACCAGTCATAAAGACAACCAAACCAAATAATATCCAATGAATTACATGGCAATACCCCTATGAATTGCTACAAGTACTGGCTATATAGTCTATACATGTATATACCATCGTATACCCATTGTCTCAGGTTGTTTGCGATTTGTTTGATTTGATATGTCCCCCCTAGTGAAATGACCATAATGGGAGTATATCCAATTTTCAGACACCCGATATCAAGTAGCTTCATTTTGAATCGCCGCATTTTGATTGGTGAAATCCCATAAATCATCATTCATCATCATCATCATCATCATCATCATCCTCGTCGTCGTGGTCGCCGTCATCATTATCATTATCAGCATCAGCATCAGCATCATCATCATCATCATCATCATCCTCATCATCCTCATCGTTGCCATCGTCATCGTCATGGTCATCGTCATCATCGTCGTCATCATCATCACCACCACCATCATAATCATAATCAAAATCATAATAATAATAATCATCATCATCATCATAATCATCATCATCATCATCATCGTTGTCATCGTTGTCATCGTCATCGTCATGGTCATCGTTGTCATCGTCGTTGTCGTCGTCGTCGTCGTCGTCGTCGTCGTCATCATCATCATCATCATCCTCATCCTCATCCTCATCCTCATCCTCATCGTCGTCATCGTCATCGTCATCATCATGGTCCTCGTCATCATCGTGGTCATCGTCATGGTCATCGCCATCATCGTTGTCATCATCATCACCACCACCATCATAATCATAATCATCAT